CCATTGCAGAGCGTCCACGCCGCCTCCTTCAGCAACACTTACGCCTTCTTTTTTGCTGGCAAAAACACCCAGAAGTGAGTCAGCAGATTATTTGCCGAGACGAAGGATCCAACCATTAGCCACATGCACGCGAAGCGAAATTTTAGCCACTGCGCCACACCGTGGGACTCGAAATTGAGAGGAAAGTGCGAAGGAAACCTCACCTAAGGCGAACAGCGACGTTCCACCTATACCAGCAATCAGCACCATTATCAGCGTTATCCAGTGACCATAGTGGAAAACTCCAATTTTTATGAAATCCACAAAACTCCTGAATACAACAACTTTAAGCCTAACGTATATTATTTCTAGAAAAACTATCTGAAACGTTGCCACCTCTGGATAGCAATGAAATCGTAACGAGGATTGTTCGGCTTCAAGTCGTATTCGTCAGTGGTAAAGATACTGTCATTGTCGGTGCCTTCACGACGGAATACGCTAAGCTGAAAAAATCCATAGATTGAATTTTGAAAAGTTAATCGACAATGGTGGAAACTACATGTTTTAGAGCGGCGGTTTTTTCTTGTAACACCTAAGACCAATTCCCTCGGGATGATCCACCCCTCCCTCCCCCGCCGATTTGAAGCGGGCCTCACGTCTTGATGGCCAGTACTTTTGAATGATCCCCTCCCCAGATTAAATGGGTTAAAAACATTCCGCACAAAGAAAGAGGTGAAGGATTAGTCGGTGGCTTGCTGGCTCTCCAACCAGTAACCCAATGTGGGCGAAACTTCGTCTACTGCGTAATTTTGAAGGCGCGGGTCGCGATCCTACTGGTGCGTTATTTTGGTCAAAAATTGGAAAAGAGTGAAGTACTACAGGAACATTGGAATTTTTTGTGAGATCGACTGTGTCAAGACGGATAGACAGAGCGCAACGAGGAGAAGGAAGACGCGAGGAAGCTCGTCGCACGTGAGAGGGCGCAGTCGCCACATATGCTGCCACTGATAAGAATGGCAGCGGTCGCAGCGGTAAAACGAAGGCGTTAGCTCCACTGTCGCGCACTTTGTCCCAAGTCAGACTTTGCAAATCCACCGATTGGATTTGCTACGATCCAATCGCTGGATTTGAGAGTAGCGAATGAGCTAAGACAATTCGGGTCCCGCTAGCGAGCCACGGATTCGCTACCAGCGAGTCGTAGATTTGCATTTTGACACCAGCCTTCCAGATCGCGACGGCACCACCACCTCTGTGCTAAGAGGGGCCTACCCTAACTCAATGAGAGATTCTCCGGAGCAACCCGTGACTTCAAAAAGTAATTTGAATCATAACCAAA